TCATTTTTGCGATTTTTGCAATTTTCAGGAATTTTTGCGATTTTTGCAATTTTCAGGAATTTTTGCGATTTTTGCAATTTTCAGTCATTTTTGCGATTTTTCCAATTTTCAGTCATTTTCGCGATTTTTGCAATTTTCAGTCATTTTTGCAATTTTCAAGAATTTTTGCGATTTTTGCAATTTTCAGTCATTTTTGCGATTTTTGCAATTTTTAGTCATTTTTGCGATTTTTGCAATTTTCAGGAATTTTTGTGGTTTTTGCAATTTTCAGTCATTTTTGCGATTTTTGCAATTTTCAGGAATTTTTGCGATTTTTGCAATTTTCAGGAATTTATGCAATTTTGAGGGTTTTTTGCAATTTTTGCAATTTTCAGGAGTTTTTGCAATTTACAGGAATTTTTCCAATTTTCAGGAATTTTTGAAATTTTCTGAAATTTTTGCGATTTTTGCAATTTCTGCAATTTTCAGGAAATTTTGCAATTTTTGCTATTTCTGCAATTTTCAGGCATTTTTGCAATTTTTACAATTTTCAGGCATTTTTACGATTTTTGCATTTTTCAGGAATTTTTGCGAATTTTTGCAATTTTCAGGAATTTTTGCGAATTTTGCAATTTTCAGGAATTTTTGCGATTTTTGCAATTTTCAGGAATTTTTGCGATTTTTGCAATTTTCAGGAATTTTTGCAATTTTCAGGGTTTTTTGCAATTTTTGCAATTTTCAGGTTTTGCAATTTTTGCAATTTTCAGGAATTTTTCCAATTTTCAGGAATTTTTGAAATTTTCAAAATTTTCAGGAATTTTTCCAATTTTCAGGAATTCTTGCAATCTGCGATTTTTGTAATTTTCAGGAATTTTTGCAATTTTCAGAAATTTTTGCAATTTGCTATTTTGCAATTTTCGGGAGTTTTTGCAATTTTTGCAATTTACAGGAATTTTTCCAATTTTCAGGAATTTTTGAAATTTTTAAAATTTTCAGGAATTTCTCCAATTTTCAGGAATTCTTGCAATCTGCAATTTTTGCAATTTTCAGGAATTTTTGCAATTTTCAGAAATTTTTGCAATTTGCTAGTTTGCAATTTTCAGGCATTTTTGCGATTTTTGCAATTTTCAGGAATTTTTCCAATTTTCAGGAATTTTTGAAATTTTCAAAATTTTCAGGAATTTTTCCAATTTTCAGGAATTCTTGCAATCTGCGATTTTTGCAATTTTCAGGAATTTTTGCAATTTTCAGAAATTTTTGCAATTTGCTATTTTGCAATTTTCAGGAATTATAAAAATTTCAAAAATTCCTGAAAAATGAAAAAATTGCAAAAATTCCAAGAAATTGTAAAAATTCCTTAATTCCTGAAAATTGCAAAAATCGCAAAAATGCCTGAAACGTTTTTCCTAGTTTAATGATCGAGCCATCAGCTCTACGGTTTGGCCATAATTTCACTAAAATCGTAGAAGAATTGAAAAGGTTACAGAGGGAGATCAATTTCGCAAATCTATTTTTTTTCGTAATCTCAAAACAATACAGCAATTCGAAACAAACAAATCAATTCTAAAATCTTTAGGAACATGTTCGCCTCCGGTTCCCCCGACAACATAAAACAATGGAAATGCCCCGACGGCAAATTCATCCAGAACCTATCAGGCCACAACGCCATCGTCAACTGTCTCGCCGTCAACCCGGAAGGGGTCCTTGTTTCCGGGGGCGATAACGGCACCCTCCATCTGTGGGACTGGCGAACCGGTTACAATTTCCAAAGATTGCAAGCCCCCGTACAGCCGGGGTCGATGGACAGCGAAGCAGGGGTGTTTTCCATGGTTTTCGACCACTCCGGGTCGCGGCTGATCACCACCGAGGCCGACAAGACGATCAAGATTTACAAGGAGGACGATACCGCTACGGAAGAGACGCATCCGATCAATTGGAAGCCGGACATTTTGAAGAGAAGGAAGTTTTAGATAGTTTCATATCCGTGTTTTTTATATCTTCAATAAAGCGAATAATTTATTATTGTTGTTTCTTATGTTTCCTACCCCAATCTAATACTTTAATCTACTCATGTGTTACTTGTTTTCTACTTATTCGTACTATTTTCAAATATTCGTCACTTATCTGCATTGCGTTATCACTCGTTCGCACTCATTTACCACTTTTTAGCACTCATTTTGTACTTAAGCGGCATTCACAACCAAACGTTTTGCTTTTTACGTTTCGTATTCTGATTGGTGAAGCAGAATCTGAAATTAAAAGTGAACTAAACCAATGCAAATGACATTCACAACAACAAAAAATCAACGTGACTCTTTATGGCTCAGTTGCCTTGGTTTTGTAATTTGTTTTTCATCCGGAAATGAAGTAAATAATCATAACACAATAATATTGATCAAATAATTTATAATATTGAATTTATAGAACTGGCGGTGACGAAAATTGATCCTTATTCAATACTTGAAGAGAAAAATCAATCTTCAACAAGAAAATAATGAATTGAACAGTATACCTATCTACTATTCTGAGGATTCACGAAAAAATCATGAAAACATTATCATAACTTCCATATTATTACCTGTGATTATTACAGAATGTTTAATATTATTCGTCTATTTTTACTATTTTCACAGACGATGGCTTCTTGCAACGCAAAAAGCTGAATATTTTCAGCTTTTTGCATCATTTTAATTACAGATTTTGCTCCACACCAATCAGAATACGAAACGTAAAAAGCAAAACGTAAAAAGTTTGGTTGTGAACGCCGCTTTATTCGCATTCATTTGTCAGTATTCGCATTGATTTGTTGCTTGTTCGAAATATATCGCAATCTTTTCACTTATTCGTCACCTATCTGCACTGCTTCGATACTTTTTTGCATTCATTCACGACTTATTATTACTAATTTGCCACTCATTCGCACTGATTTGTCAGTATTCGCACTGATTTTTCATATTCCTCACGTATACGCACTGATTTGTCACATATATGGACTTATCTGTCATTGATTCGAATCGATTTTGTGACTGAGTCACACTCGTTTGTCACTTACTCGCACTAATTAGCATCTTTTCACATGCCACTTATAAGCACCAATTTGTCACTGTCATTAATTCAAATCGATTCGTCACATCCGCGCTGATTTGTCACTTATATGGTCTTATCTGTCACTTATTCGCATCGTTCTGTCACTTATTAGCACTGATTTGTCACTCACTCGCATCGATTTCAATGTACACAACGCAGCCTGGCTCAAATTCTCTAACAAAACAGATGATGCAGGTCGTCAAACTGAGGCCTTCGTCATCACTCATGGTCTATAGAACAACTAGTCGAACTACCAACCCGCATTCCAGATGTCACCAACCAGTCTGCCAATACACTAGATCTTTTTCTCACCAGCAATCTTGATCCATATAGAATAGAAGTTTGTGCCCCACTTGGAAACTCTGACCACACCCTCATCTCCACAGCCTGCTCTTTCCATGTACCTATCATCCAGCACCACACATTACAATTCGGCCGACTGGGAAGGTCTTCGTATGTTTTTTTCAGCGTTTCCATGGAAGAGAGTTTGTTTCTCCTCAGCAGATCCAACACGATGTGCTGAGACAATTTCTGAAATCATCATGTTGGAGGTGCAAACCTATACCGAACACTGCAAGAAGACCATCTTCCGATAAGGCCTGGTTCAGTAGAAACAGCTCGATCTAGCTGTCGCTCCCAAACAGGCAGCATTCCATCGATGGCAGAAAAATCCAGGCACTGAGACTAGAGCAGCATATGTCGAGGCTAGAGGCAAATGCAATGGGACAATTCGACCATCAAAGGATACTTATAATGCCAAAATAAGATCAAAACTTGTTGAATGTCCTAACGGATCCCGTTCATTATGGTCTTTCGCCAAAGCTGTGGGAAGAAACTTCACTTCCAGCTCGTTTCCTCCTCTAACCAAGGAGGATGGAACACTAGCCACAACTGCCCAGGAGAAAGCCAACATTTTTGCGCATTTATTTGCTGGAAATTCCACTCTGGATTCATCGGGAAAAGAATCTCCGAACATAACGCCAATTGACAGTCATATGCCCAAGATCACCTTTCGCCAACGTACTATAATAAGGAAGATTTTATTGGGTCTCAACACCAACAAAGCTTTTGACTCCGACGGAATCCCACCGATTGTTCCCAAGAAATGTGCTCCCGAACTAACAATTATTGTTCTCTGCAAGTTGTTCAACTACTCTTACAAATTGATGGGGATATTCCCGTCCAACTGGAAAATTGCAAGAGTACAACCAGTTCCTGAAAAAGGCTGAAAGACCCTACCTATAGCAACTACAGACCGATCGCACTGCTATCATTTCAAAGATCATGGAAAAAAGCTATCAACATCGTGAGCTCATGGAATACCTGGAACATTCAGGTATTATCAACGATAGGCAATATGGCTTCCGTCATCAGAGATCAAAACTGGTTACCTGCTCGCTTACGTCTCATATATATGGCAGCAATCTATTGGAAAATATATAGTGAAACCTTAGCCGTGGGACTTGATATCTCCAAGGCGATCGAGTCTGGTACCACGTACTCCTCGCCAAGCTTCCATCTTATGGCTTGCCTCCTCAGCTATGTTCTCTGCTAGCTGGTTTTCTCTCAAACAGGTTTCTTCATGTAGTGGTCGACGGAGTTATTCCATCTGACTCTCTTATCATGAATGCTGGTCTTCCGCAAGGATCAATTTTAGCACCAACACTATTTCTACTCCATATCAACGATTTGTTGAAAGCAACTTCATCTCCAGTACACAGCTTCGCAGATGATATATAGTACCATCCATACCCCCGCCTTCTCTTCCAGGGCTCCAATATCAGCCAGGCAAATCAGAAACGAACGAGGGAGAAATATTGACAACATAAATATGGACTTGGCAACAATTCTCGAATGGGGATCCAATAACTTGTAGACTTGTAACCGGGAGATTTCAATACAAACAAAACACAAGCACCGAACAGAAACAGAGTCTCTGTTTCTGTTCGACACAAGCATGTCTTTTATCTAGAAAAGCCGATCTCACTGTTCCCAACATAAGCTTGTCAGGAGTAACCATTCCGTTGAAGACATCCATTTCGATGCTTGGTATTACTATCAACAATAACCCTTCTTGGGAAAATCACGTAAGATCAATTGCTAAAAATGCATCCCAAAAACTTGGTTTTTTGTTTCGAGCCAGAAGCTATTCCACTTTCAGTCAGCTGCTTTTATGATCTATAAGACACAGATCCACCCTATCCTGGCGGAATACTGTTCCTATATTTGGAGTGCAGCACCCAAACATACCCTGAAACTGCTGTTGATGGATTCTCTCCAAAAAAGGGCAATTCGGCTCGTGAGTGATGCCTCGCTCACAAACTTACTCTGGAACACCGTAGAAAAGTTGTCGATCTGGCTTCATTTTATAGATATTTTCATAGACGATGCTGAACATCTCGTTCCAAAGAATGGTTCATCCAACGATTTGTTATCACCCAATAGTTCAGGGCAAACTTTTTCTCCGATCTGGATGGCCCTCAGAGCCTTCAGATGGTCATAATTTATTTCTTCTGTTACCTTGGAGTCATGCCTGAAAAAAGCGAATTAGGTAGGTAGGTATATATAGTAACGTATCAGAAGAAATTAGAATAGAAGAAGCTAAACAAATATCAGACATCTGGACAAATCTTCAAGGCTTCAGACAGTATAACCTTCAGGAAGAATTTGTTTTTCTCTACGGGTTTCACACCTCTTCCTTTTTTCGTGCGACAGTCTGAAGTGTGACAGAGAATGTTCCATCTATAGAGTCGATTTCGTTACGGAGCCTCTGTGAAATGGCGAGGCTGCCATTAATGCCATCTTAAAAAATGATTGACAAATCATGAATCAAGAGAAAATGTCTTTGACATATCGATTGGATCAGCTCTAAAATTGGTTAGGAATTTCATCGGCTATCCATTTGCAGACATAATAGACAGACATGAAGGTTCGAACGCCCTCGTATTATCATTTCTGACAATTTTTTGATTAGCCCTCGTATCCACTGGATGGCCTCGGGGAAAATTACACAATCATGTATTTCCCTTTGGAAAAAGGCGAAATATATCTGCTCCGATGTGAATTATTCTGAAACGAAACGGGTTTTGAAAACAAGTTTAGTTGCAGCATAGGCGAACGCTTCGTCATTCAATTTCCATTGGTTTTTCCTTTTTCGTTCTAAATTAATTTGTGATATGTTCATTCATTCTAAAACTGCACTTTATTGTCTTGGGGAACTCCTTCTTGATTGACCTCCTAGTCCCCATCATTACGTAAATTGTTTTTGTTGGCATTAATGGCATTCAGAATATCACCCAGTGGTGTATCTGGCAGTAGGCCTAAGTGATAGAGTTATTTGGTATATACAGAGTGACCCATTTGAAAGCGGCCACACCCTCATAAATCTCTTATTAATGTAGCGATTCTGACCAACTTTTTCTTTAATGTGGAGCTGATAGTATGGGGGGTCCACTTTTTCTAAAAACCAAAGCCTGTTTCGAATAACCCCATATATATTATACCATTTCGGAATCTGTATTAAAATGGACAACTTTTTCTTATGATTGGTTATCTATGTATATAGGGTAATTTTTAAATGTGCCTGCGGCATTTGAAAGTAGACTTAAATATTTCATTCGATGACAAAACTCAAGGAAACAACATTTTCTCAGGTAAATTGATGAAAAGTAATAAATGTCATGAAATTATTTCTGGGGAAAGGTGCATCATCCATGTGGATGAAATTTGTGAAAGAAAAAATCACACATGTGACATAGTTTTATTGTAATTTTTTTTATGGAAATGAAAAAAATATTAATAACTTTTGAATAATCAATAGTTGGGATAACCACATATACGTTAGTTTGATTGGAAATGACCCTCCGACCTACCACCTCACACCCTGTATATGTACTCATTTCAAAAACACATAAAAATGCATGATAAATAACTTGTCAGTAATTTAGTGATAGAATCGTGAATGTTGAAGATTTATTTCAGAGGATGCCAATTCCAGTGGCGTATGCGGATTTTTTCAACAAAATCGCCAATATGAATTCGGGGTTTTTCAACCTCTGAATGTGATTTAGTAGGTCTTGATTTATAAAAAAAGTGGACGTCGTTTGGCTCCAAAATATAACTTTCCCCCTTCGACATTTAAAAAAAAAGTCGTCAAAATCGGTCCACAAATAAAAAAACCATGAGGGTGGCCAGCTTTCAAATGGGTCACATTGTATATAGGGGACTCTTTAATCTATGGCATATAGGCGACTCTTTAATCTATGGCATACAGGCGACTCTTTAAATCTATGGTAAAGAATTCAATGAGTTGATCAGCGCAATATATCTGTATAAAGTTATAATACTTCAGTGAAAGAAATTAAAATATATTAATTGAAAGATAAAATGAGGATATTGGTTGTTTGCTGTGAACAATTCTTTTTGAAAAAATTTACAACAATATGTAGGTAGTTTGCATATAAAAATATCTCCAATTTTTTTCGACCAGTTTATAAAGAATAGACTGGTTGAGTGTGTCTGCGGGTACGAAGTTCAGAAATTTTAGAAGATTATCGTTTGTTTTTTTTATTATTTTATTACTGAAATTCGTAGCATGGAAGTTTCTTTATATAAGAATGATAGTTTGATTATGCAATGTTATATTTTAGTGATTCAGTGGCGCAACTGTTATTTCAATCCATGGAAATCCCTGTTCATAATTTCCGAAAATTATTTTGTAGCTATACCTAGGGACCTTTACAAATTGTTGATAGATAGTTGCGAATGAGTATACACAGGCTGTTCAAAGATATGAACATCACGGAAAAAAAGGAATTGTTGAATCAAGCAAATTTTGATTGAATGAAGCAAATAAAAGTGTCACATATGCACGACAAAATATAATCTTGAAACGAGTAAATCTATATCTTGTTTCAGAGCGAATTTGAAGTTTGTATCTTATTCAATCAAGCACATCCAGGAATTGTTCATGAAGAGATATTGAATTGGCTCAAATAACAATCATTTTGTTTGATTGAAAATAACAAGATATTGATTCAATCAAATATTCAGTTGATTCAATGAAATATTTAGTTGATTCAATGAATTATTTGGTTGATTCAAAAAAATATTTGGTTAATTCAATGAAATATTCTGTTTATTCGATGAAATATTTCGTTGATTCAAGAGAAACTGAATTTCCATCCCGCACAAATTGTTTTGTTGAACCAAATTCAGTATTAATTCGGAATTTTCTGAAATTCCACATCAATAGAATAAACTAAGCTATAGGGAACTATAGTCGACTTCTAGCATAGATCTCTTGATTTGAAAAAGCTGCTTCCATGAAATAATCATGTATCTTGTTGATTCAACAAAAAATTGCTCAGTCCAACAAAAATAATTCAAGTATAAATAATTTGTTAATGCAACAAATCCTTTTTTTTTTCGTGACATGTTATATTCATGTAATAATTTAAATACTGGTGAGTGTACACAATTAAAGTACCACCAAAATTGTATAATCAATTGTACTGTCGTCTTCAGAGATCATGTCGCGGTTAGACGGTGTCAGCGCTCTTATTGCAGGAGTTGAATGCTATCATCGTCCATATATGCGACATATTTTCTGAAGACGATGGTATTCTGAATTGAAAAAAAAACACGTGTTTCTTGAGATGCTCCAGCATCGGGGGAAATAAGTTAGCCGAGTTGAGACTTTTCTTCTGTACCGATACCTCTGTCGTATGGTTTATATATTGTACATATAGTACAGTCGTATGATGCAAATGTATGGAATAATTTCATTATTTCAGAAATGAGCGACATTCGAAAAATTCCAAAAACACGTGATTTTTGATTGAAGCCTCATCTCATGATATTTATATGAGAGATGTTACGTCACCGGTGTTGGAGTAATGACGTAATTAACGATTTTTTCATATACAAAGAGGGGTCATATATGACACCTCGTTTGACAGGTCTACTGATCATCTATCCAACAGTCAAAATTTGGCATAAGGAGATTGCAATAATTAAAATGGATTATCATATTTGATTAACTGAATCTTGCAGAGGTCTGCTACTGAGAATTGGACATCGAAGGGTCGTCTAGTTAAAAAAATACATCAGTAAAAAAGTTCTGAACTCTAGTTTTTGGATTTTTTCAGAAATTCGTCTTGTTATGAAATGAATATATTCCATACATTTGCATCATACTGTATATATAGGTATTAGATTTTCCAATATTAACACATAATTTAATGATATAATGATTTTTTTGATCTGAAATTCCCACTTTCCCGCGTAACGAGGCTATATATTTATGTTTTGTATAGACTGTCTCATCGTAGCTTGGTGGGGACATCTTTCATATTTCTAGTGATGTTTATAAATAAACATCAAGTAGCACGCCTCTGTTATAAAACACGTGGTAATCAACACAATTAACTTATTGACAGAGTATAATCTGGCATAGAAAGTACCTAAGTGTGTTGTTTGGTCGTCTGTTTGCCTCATAATCGTGAAAACGTGTCAGCAATTTTGGTTTTGTCAATTGAGACAGGAGACTTGACGTTTCATAAAAATCAATCAACAGGTTGCAACCAAAATATTATATCATAGTGTCGGATAGCATAGATCGACTAGTGAGGCAGTGTATGACAAAAAGAAATAGACAACATGGGATTGTTGAACGAAGGCAAATCTTTGTCGCATCAAGAAACCATGAAATATGCAGAACACGTTAGAAAACACGGCCTGATCCAGTTCATAAACCAGTACAGGCGCTTCAAGGGCCGAAAAGGGGACCCGTTCAAATGGGGGGACGAAATAGAATACACGATCATCAGATTTTTCGAAGGTAATTCCTTTTTCATCCAGAATTTTCAACGATAAGTATGGTTACATCGCAGAGATGTCGCAGTTTTCTAACTCTTACTATCATTCCGCTTGTTATATAAAAAATATTTCATTGCAACATATCCAGAAATATCACTGCCAAACTTCCCTGTTAGATATATCTTAGAGGTGTCGCAGTGACACATCACCGTTACGTCTCAGATATGTCAAAATTGCGTTTTTCTAATTCACCATTACTTCATTGCAACATCTCAGAAATATCACAGTTATACTTCTCTTTTACATTTGAGATATGTCGCAGTGACACATCACCGTTACGTCTCTAATATGTCACAATCTTCATTTTCAAATTCACCCTTACTTTACTGCAACATCTCAGAAATGTCACAGATATGCTCCCCTGTTACACCTTAGAGACATCCCAGTGTTACATCACCGTTACGTCTCAGATATGTCAAAATCTTGTTTTTCTAATCCACTGTTACTTCACTGCAACATCAGAAATGTCACAGTTATGCTTCTCTGTTACATTCAAGAGATGCTGCCGTGATATATACAGCGCTGTTACCTCTTGGATATGTCAGAATCGCATTTCTTTGATTCATCGTCACTTCACTGCAACATTTCAGAAAAGTCACATCTATACTTTTCTGTTACATATCAGAGATATCTCAGTGACACTTCACCATTACGTCTCGGAGATGTCAAAATTGCGTTTTTCTAACTCGCACTCTCATCTCGCTTAATATATAGAAAAAATACTACATTGTAACATCTCAGAAATATCAAACTTTCCTGTTACTTCTCAGAGATGTCGCAGTGATACATCATCATTACGTCTCAAATATGTCCGAGTCACGTTTTCCTAATTCACCGTTACTTCATTGCAAGATCTCAGAAACGTCACGGTCATGCTTCTCTGTTACATTCAAGAGATGACGCCGTGATACTGCACCGTTGGGTCTCAGAAATGTCACAGACATGTTTCCCTGTTATACCACAGATATGTCGCATTATTACATCACCGTTACGTCTCAGATATGTCAAAATTGCATTTTTCAATTCACTGTTACTTCCCTGCAACATCCCAGAAACGTCACATCAATACTTTCCTGTTACATATCAGAGATGTCGCGGTGTTACATCACCGTTACGTATTGGAGATGCAAAAATAAAGATTTTTTTGAAGATCGCAAAGAGGCGAAGCTGTGCCTGAGAAACGGCGAGCTTTTGGCAGTGTTGAACGAGCAGGAGCGTACTCGGCCCGATGAAATAAGGGCCTTGTGGAGGCCCGAATACGGGGCGTACATGATAGAAGGCACGCCTACTAAGCCCTTTGGAGGGTTGGAGACGTTCGGCACTGTGGAGGCCAATATGAAGGGTAGGCGGGAGGAGATCGGGGCACATTTGAAGGAGAATGAGGCGATTTTGTGTGTCACGTGTTTTCCGAGGTGAGAACTTTTTCAATTCATCAATCAAGGAATCAATCAAATCTTTATTCCTTTAGTAAATAATAACATTATGGCATCCAACAATCTGATTTGATTTTTCAAACTAATATCCCAGTGACTCTAAATTTTTCTGCTCCCTGAAAGTTCGCGGAGCAAACAAATAAATCCTGTTTCAGTCAAAAGAACACTTAATCATCAATTGCTTGGAACAAACGAACATCACTACAAGGGAGAAATGTTGACAACATAAGAGGGGATCCAATAACTTGGTAGATTTCTATGCAAACAAAACCCAAGCATGCCTTTTCTCTAGAAAAGCCGATCTCACTGTGCCTAACATAAGCTTGTCAGGAGTAACCATACCTTTGAAGACATCCATTTCGATGCTTGGTATTACTATCAGCAATAACCTTTCTTGGGAAAATCACGTGAGATCAATTGCTAGAAGTGCATCCCAAAAACTTGGTTCTCTGTTTCGGGCCAGGAGCTATTTCACTTCCAGTCAGCTGCTTATGATCTATAAGGCACAGATCCGACCTGTCCTGGAATACTGTTCCCATATTTGGAGTGCAGCACCCAAACATACCCTGAAACTGTTGGATTCTGTCCAAAAAAGGGCAATTCGTCTCGTGGGTGATGCCTCGCTCACAAACTCACTCACTTCTCTGGAACACCAAAAAAAAGTTGGCGATCTGGCTCTATTTCATAGATATTTTCATGGGCGATGCTCTTCTGAAATATCAACAATTGTTTCCCCCTTGCCAGTCCCCGCAAGATTAACCCGTCGAGTTGAGGCTTCGCACCCCTTCGTGGTCACTTTGGAGACCTGCAGAAGCAGAACATCTCTTTCCAAAGACTCGTTCATCCAACGAACCGCGAGGCTCTGGAACACATTGCCAAGGGAGGTGTTCCCCGAGGCATATAACCTCCAGAAATTTAAGACGAACACCAATTCCTACCTCATTTCCCTTGGTTCTCACGATGTTCTCTGAACATTACAAAATATCCTTTTTCGTGGGAACCAGAACATAAAGAAAATTTCAACAGGGTGAGCATGACAAACAAACAGGTGCGTTATAGTACTTGTGACGTCTTTACCGCTGACGATTTTCTTTCGTGTTCTAACGGGCGGATTTCTCTGGAAAATACCTAGAAGGAATGAAGAATTCATAAAATTCTTTCTTTCCTCATCGCTATGGACGTCATAGTATTTTTTCTAGTCTAGAAATTAGCGTTCTTGACTATTCAGTGATATTCATTTCAAACTGGTTCGAGTATACCGATAGATAACAACGTCATTAAATCAGAAATGAAAATATTCTAATCTGATAAAATGAGTTTATCAGTTACATAATGACATTATATCTTGTTGATTCGTAGATTGGGATGCGAAAATTTCACAGATCCACCCTACAAACCCACCCCCTCGGTGGGTGTGTCTGGATCGCTTTTTTACCCTGACGAAGCTATCAACCAAGTACACCCACGATGGAAGAATACCACCAACAATATTATGGAACGTCGAGGCGAAAAACCCTACACAAATTTGCCTGGTAAGAGTCTTACTTAGATAACATTGTTCTAAATGCAAATAAGTAAAATACACAGTTATTGGGCAGATTTGAGTGGCAGATATGGAATGTGTTTTTTATTGATAATGCAGCCATCAGTAACATTGATAAAGACTTTGTATAATAGACTTACTGAGACTATCAGAGTTATCCCAAAGATTTTCAAATACTTATAAAGACTTTCAATGATTTCTGAAGACTTACTAAGACATCCAATGACTTCCAAAGGCGATAAATGTCACAAAATAGATATTTACGTAATCAGTTAGTTAACGCGTTGTTTTGTGTAACGATGGGATTTTACGGGACGAGCGAAGCGAGATCCCGCAACATCACAGAGTTACACAAAATGGCGTTTCCTAACGTGTCACGTACAATATTTTTTCTAATTTTGACGAAACATTTCGCATGAACAAAAATAATGACCAGTTTTACATGAGTTCTGCCGACTCTTGTTGTGTGAAATGAATGAATGAAATGAACATTACATCACCAGTTATGTAAAATTTTACTTTACGCAACTGGTTACGTGAAGTAAGACGTTTCAAAACTTCCGTCAGTTTTGAAAAGTGTCACATTACATGTCAAAATTAGAAAAATACGATTTTTGGTGACTTCAGAACATTTCCAGAGACTTCTAATGACCATCTTAAAAAAAGGAATATTCTCAGATGTATTTATGAACACAAAAAAATGGATTTATAAAAGAAGGAATACATTGAGAATTCGCATTCTCCATGTGATGAAAATATTAATTCTTTCTCGGTTTATTCAACAGAAAACAACTACTTTCCTGGCTATATTTGCCACGTCGAACATTGAATTATATCTGTTTAATTTGAATGAGAATTTTGATGAAAGAATCATTATCTCCGACTCCAAAAACCCTCAGATACCAATTTTGTATAGAATCGGCCGATAATTAAAAAACTCGTCCGCCATATTGGATCCGCCATTTCGAATTTTCTAATTTTGACGAATAAATCATAATCTCCGACCCCGAGAATCCCCATATACCAATTTTGAATAGAATCGGACCATAATTACATTACAAAACTCGTCTGCCATATTGGATCCGCCATCTTGAATTTTTTATTTAAAAAGTAGATTATGACCGATTCTGAAACTGAATATGCATAAAAAAAATTCATAAGAATCGGTCGAGCCGTTTCGGAGGAGTAGGGGAACCAACATTGTGACACGAGAATTTTATACAGGGTGTTTCTAAATAACACCGAAAAAATCAAGGAATGATTCCTTGTGATATTTGCTTCGTTTTCGACATACAGGGTATTAATATTTCTATGAAAAATCTTTTTTCTATTTATTTTTAATTTGTTTTTCCATCAATCTTAATGAAAAGTTGTGGTTTTGTTAATAGTAATATGGAGCTTCTTCTAGTGCAATTATATTCGAAATAATATTTCCAGTGGCGTCACAGTGGGTAAATTTATCGATATTTGTGGTGAATGTCATTGTACGCCACTGGTTTTTCTGAGTTTAATATCTTTATTACATTAAAGTATTGAAATAACAACTTTTTTATCCTTTGTGTGATTTTTGTACCTAGCTTAGTTTTTGAGGGAACAATAAAAATTCGATTTGACTCCAAATTTTAATGCATATGTGTTTTCAAGATTTCCTCTGAGATTACTCAATAACCCCAATTAGAAACATCTTGAAATTCTGGAGCTTCCTCAGTTTCCATTAGGGTTTGCAATCCCGAAATACCGATACCGGAAATCCCGGGATCCTAGTGATATTTTCATACCGAGAATCCCGGGATCACATCCGATTAGATCCCGGGTATTTCGGGATTACTTTGAACAATAAGACTTCGCTTTCGTCAAGTGAGTCAGATTATTATTATTCGAGGTTCCTGAAAAAAAGTTATGGAGATACTCGTGAGTCATGCAAAACGTTTCTCAATAGTTTCAGAGGCAATAATTGATGAACAAGATGATGAGGAATATAGAATTCCTCTTGCGAGTCAAGCGTCACCGAGTGTGTCACCGACTCAACCTATATAGATATCATATAACAAAGGAAATTACCCTTTTCGAAAATGGTGACAACAAAGATACATATCTTCTAACAACTATACCACTCACAAGTGTAGAATATGAAAGAGTATTTTCCGCAGCTAGTACCATTTGCACAAAAATCAGCACTCGACTCGCAGATACCCTTTATAAGTGTATATTTGTACGCTCCTGGTCCAGTCAACAGTAATAAATGTTCGGCCTTTTTTCTCTGTATATAGTTTTTGATGTATAGATTACATTTTTTGTTCATATACGAGTATTTATGTGATCATTACGTATCTACAGTACCTATACCCCATACTTTTTTCAAATTCTAATCCCGATACCAAAAACCCGGGATCCCGGGTTCGTATCAATTTGATCCCGGAATCCCGGGATTGTATTATCACTCCGGGATTGTATTATCACTCCGGGATTGCAAACCCTAGTCTCCATCCATACTGAACTTTGGCACCAAGAAAGCTCATACAGGGGGGATATGAATAAAAACTATTAATACTTCTAACTTCAACATCCTGTATCTCAAAAACGGAGCAAGTTAGGACACATGTTTATATGAACTTTATTTGCTAGAATGTTACAAGGAAGCACTCCTTGAATTTTTCCGGTGTTATTTAGATACACCCTGTATATTAGATTAGTAAGAATACGAAAATTTTCATCGATGTTTTCCCAAGTATTCAGAGACGTGAACACGAAAATCCCGATCGACGATACCTATCAACGGGACGAAAACGCAGCACCCGACTGCATCTACATGGACACGATGGGCTTTGGGGGCGGTTTCTGCTGCCTCCAAGCCACCTTCCAAGGCAGCGACCTCGATCAGGCCAGGTTCCTATACGACCAGCTAACGCCGTTTTGTCCCATCATGGTAAGAACGTCAAAACTCACTTTTTTTTAATTGACTCGGCCGTAAATGGTAAATGTAAAAACTTCACAAACGATAAGATTTACACAAAAAATTCTCAAACACTTACATGTTTCGCTAACTCAGTAGATTCGTAGGTGATATACTGGTACGATGAACTAAACCATACTTGGCTTGCTTAAGTTTTATATATCCTACTTTTCCAACTTGGAGGATTAGATACCTGTGGACAGGTTAGATAAACCTCCATTTTCCGAAATTACAAATACATATCATTACTTACTATGGAAACGAATTCAACATGCAGTGGTGATTACTATTGAGGTCTAATTGATGGTTAAGTAAAATGTCAGAATTTTTGAGTTGATTTCTAATGATTCAAAATGATAGAGTTTCATTCCTTTATTCTCTACGTGTAGAATCCCGAAATTATCATCAAAACTATGATTTTCTTCTGATATATGGTTGGCACCTCTAGATGGAATCTAACAGTATTTTTTAAACCTTTCGGTTCCAAATCAAGAGTTGACGTCTTCCCAAAAAATATTTATTGACAACTTATCACAAAACTCAAAAACTCCCAATATACGGGGCATTCAATATTTCTTTAATATTATTTCATTCACAGAGCTGATTAAACGAACGACCTGTCTGCCCGATATACAGTGTGTCCCACTTACCATGCTCACCATGGGTATCTTTTTAACGGTGAGAGATACGAGGTCGGTTAAATGACACCAAATGTGGAGTTTGTCAAGGCAAACTATAATTTGAAAAAATATTTTGATAAAATCTATTCGTTTTTGTTTTATACGCAAAAAACAGATTTTGATCATTTTGATGTCTCCTCCGTAACTTCTTCATTTATGAAAATATTCAAATAGGAATTTCACATCCTCATGGCAGTTTCTCAAAGTGATATCGAAAAAAATATGAAATTTATACCAACTCTTCTAGAATTTGAGATATCACTGATATCAGCACCAACTTCAGTTTTTCAAATGTAGGTCATAGCTCACTATGACTTAGTTACAAATAACTTTAATAACAGTAATAGTTTTGTGTTGATAACAACATAGTTATCGTCATTTATACGAAAACAAAAAATTATTTGGAAGTCGCCATCTCGAATTTATAAATTTTAACAAAAACATCATGATCTCCGACCTCAAAAACCCCCACTTACCAATTTTGAATGGAATCGGACCAAATCTTGTCCGCCATCTTGGAGCAGCCATTTTTTTTTTATTTCAACAAAAATTCCATAATGTATTGTCACCGGAATTATGAAGACCTGCCAAATTTCAAGTTAATTCGGCATTCACAACCAAGCTTTTTACGTTCTGCTTTTCACGTTTCGTATTCTGATTGGTGAAGTAAAATCTGGAATTAAACGTGAACTAAACTTATGCAAATGACATTCACAAAAAAAATCAACGTGAACTTTTTACGGCTTTTCTCAGTTGCCTTGGTTTTCTCATTTGTGTTTCCATCATCCTGAAATGAAGTGAAATAATCATAACAATAATATTGATAAGATAATTAATAATATTCAAAGAACTAGCGGTGACGTAAATTGATGCTTAATACTTGAAGAGAAAAATCAATCCTCAATGAATTGAACAGCAGTATACCTATCTACTATTCCGTGTATTCACGATAAAATCATGAGCATGTATATTGTTCTATTCGAATCAGAACTAACAGTAGTATTTTCCATTTTTTTTAAAATATCATTTGTCTATTTCTTCTATTTTCACAGACGATTGCTTCTTTGCTACGCAAAAAGCTGAATTTCGTAATATATCAATCAACGATTTCAGCTTGCTTTACCAATCCGAATACGAAAGGTAAAAAGCAAAACGGAAAAAGTTTGGTTGTGATCGCCGCTTATTACGTTTTCTGTGTTCAGGTGGCGTTGGCGGCTTCTTCGCCCATATACAGGGGGTTCTTGAGTGAAACAGACGCTCGATGGGACATAATCAGCGGTTGCACCGATTGCAGAACGGAAGAAGAAAGGGGCTTGAAACCCCTGAAGAACAACAAATTGGTGTTGAAGAAGCCTCGTTACAGCTCAGTAGACTGCTATCTGTCGCCGGCAAACAAAAAATACAACGATATTTCTGTGGATTATCGCCAAGAGGACTTTGAGCAGTTGAGGAAAAGTGGCGTGGATGAGATGCTCGCTGAACACATTGCCAATTTGTTCGTCAGAGACACAATTTCTTTGTTTTCCGAGAAAATACACCAGAATGACGAAGAGGAGCGGGATCATTACGAGGTGAGCAACGTGATTTTTATGAACAGTAAAACCACATGAACTTTTTTCTTCGACATCTACAAAAAATCTTTACGTTCTAATTTCCGAACGAGAAACCGATTACCTATTTCCGAGGGCTAGTACTTTTTGTTCTCAGACAGTAACTTTTCGTCCGCTGCTGGGTTGCCAGTTCTACTAAATTTCCAGTAGATCTCCTGGTTTGCTTATTGATCAACTGATCTACTGGAACATTTCACAAAACCTCGGATTCTTCTTCCGTGCGAAAAGCTACTTTACACCTCAACAGCTTCTCATGATCTACAAAGCGCAGATACGGCCTGTTCTAGAATACTGTTCCCACATATGGGGTTCAGCACCAAAACATACGCTGATGCTCTTAGATTCCATCCAGAGAAGAGCCATTCGCCTGGTGGGTGACGCCACACTCACTCGCTCTTTGACATCATTGGAACACCGTAGAAAGGTCGGCGACCTTTCACTTTTCTATCGATACTTCCACGGGAAATGTTCTTCGGAAATCTCTGCTATCATCCCTTCACTAGCAATACCAGTCAGACGAACTAGACAAGCCCAGTCAGCACATCCCTTCGTTGTCAACCTCGAAAGATGCCGAACAGCACTTTATCAAAACTCCTTCATCCATAGAACGGCTGGGCTCTGGAATTCATTGCCTGAGGAAGTATTCCCAACATCATATAATCTCCAGAAGTTCAAAAAACATTCCAATACCTACCTCCTATCCCTATCCTCCCTAGGAACGCACGATGTTCTTTGAACATTATAGGGATTCCCTTTCGTGCGCGCCAAGCGATAAAAAAAAAACACTGTGTCCCATTTTGGTTGAGACTGCACTGTATATCATCTATTATTGAAGATAGAGGCATGCGGTTTCCGCGACCCTGTATCACTTTTTTGTAAAACTTTCAAAGCCACAAACAAAAATATTCCAACTACTTTCGTTCCTGAAATACAGGGCGAAAACGGAAATGTTCACTTCAAACAAAAAAAATTAAAACTGCTTATGATAGATATTTTAACATAAAAGTCAGTGGCGAATTCTGATTTTTTTTAAAGCAAAAGCAAAAAAATGTTTTATTTATTGAATCCATGGAAACTGTCACAAACAGAGTCAATACAAATCAATAATGATGGCTGACGGTGAAAACACGGAATTTCAAAATTTGGAAAAGTATGATATTATAAAATGTTTTAACCTTTCTAACGAAAATGTCAAAGCAGCGATGCGGTTATATTTAAACAGGTAAAGAATTGGCATATTTTATTTTGGTACAAAATTTAAACAATGAATACGATCTTATTAGGTTTCCAGAAAGACGTCAGTCATCTCGGGCTACAGTATTCCGGTTAAAATCCAATCTTTTGAATTATGGCCACTGACTTTTATGTAAAAATATTTATTATAAGCAGTTTTCATTTTTTTTCCATCTTATACGGGGCCTGAGAAATTATAACATCTCCAAAAGTGAACATTTTCGTTTTCGACCTGTATTTCAGGAACAAAAGTAGTTGGAATATTTCTGTTTGTGGCTTTGAAAGTTTTACAAAGAAGTGATACAGGGTCGCGAAAACCGCATGTCTCTATCTTCAATAATAGCTGAGATACAGTGCAGTCTCAACCAAAATGGGACACGGTGTACTGCTGTTTCCTCTTCTTCCTGACAGAACCTGCCCAGCAGTTCTTCAGTCAGACCTATCGTACTCATGTGTTTGTTGAGCCTATAATGCCCTGTGAGAAGTCCCACTAGTATTCTAGTTGAACTTCGTTTCTGGCTCAGTAGATATTCTGTGAATGTTGGCGATGGTTTTTTAATAAACTCTTACGCCTGTCTCATACCTGGCAAGTCAGAGCTGACTACTAGGAGTGTACCTCTGATCCAGCTGATGTCAGTGAGTTGTCCAGGGCAGAAAATATTGATCGTCGATTGCTACCTTGTTCTCTCTAATTCAGCATTTTTGTGTTGTGAAATAAAAATAGAAAACTAAGTTTTAAGAATTCTCTGTGAAAGACTCTATGAGGTATGAGGGGTGGGATAGGTGTGGAAGGGTGATTGGGATCTAATAGACTGATTTCGTATCGGCAAATAGACTAGTTTAAAAAAATTGACGCCTCGCAGGGATTGAACCCCAGTCACTACATTGAAAGGCAGGCCGAAACTGTATTTTCTGGCGTGTTGTAGAGGAACATAATTTATTTCATCATTTGATGATTTTTGATGATTTTCTCGATTCCAGAACATTTTATCAACGAATTGGAGATCGATGCGACTGAAGCTGCCAGTTCCAGAAGAGAATATCGGTTGGAGGGTGGAATTCAGGCCGATGGACGTTCAAATGACAGACTTCGAAAATGCCGCCTATGTCTGTTTTGTTGTTTTATTGACCAGAGTGATTCTGCATTATAAACTGAATTTTATGATGCCAATAAGCAAGGTGAGGCTACTAAACCGTTTCTACTTCATTACTCTGCATTATAAACTGAATTTTATGGTGCCAATAAGCAAGGTGAGGCTACTAAACCGTTTCTACTTCATTATTTTCTTTAAATTAAATTGAGCTGGGTTATTTTTCATCAATTCTGAGATTATAATACTGTTCTGCAGGTAAATCTGATTTTTGGGGTTTACTGTCTTCGAGATGAAAACCTTCCAATCTTTCTCTTTCAATTTAAGGATATCAAGGTTATCTTTTCACATCAGATTGAAGGTAAATGATGATTAGAAGGTGATTTATAAGGTGACTTGATAGGTACCTTGATATTGAATTGAAAGTCTACTACCTACCTACTTTATAAATGAAACCTTGAAATCAGTTTTTTAAAGATCACTAAAGTGTGTTGAAGGTAAATGAAGATTTGAGGGTTAAATTTTGACATAGATTTGAAGGTTGATAAAAATTTGAAGGTGACTTGATAGTTATACCTTCTGATCTGGAGATTGATACTGATTTATTGAACTTGAGACTGACTCAAATGCACGCTTATATTGAGTTAAAACGATTGAAAATCTGTAATAATTTAGTGATGAAACCTCCAAATTGGTAATTCAAACGTCAATATAGTGATGAGGCTATTAAATACTTATTGGCAGATCAAATGCTGATAATTTAATTTCAGTTCTATGCTGAATAGGCGAGTGAACTATTTCTTAAATATGATCATCACTCAAATACCTTTCAATATTATACAGGGTGGGTCACGGTCGATGGCACCTTAGATGTTTACGGAGAACGGGACACGAGATCATTCTGAAAATTTGGTTACTCAAGTAATTGCTCTTGATCTATCGATCTAAAATATTTTCAGCTCTGCGGCGTTGCCGCTTCTATCGAAAAGTAGCAACAACTTTGTTATTTTAAATGGAACACCCTGTATTTTATCGCATTTTCAGATTCTCTCTGAAGAGCTGATGTCATCGATGTATCACACTTGGGGTCTAGCGGAAATGATTACAGAGATATAGGGTGTGAAAAATCGACATTTTTCAACTTTAGGAATTTTTTTTGTCGAAACTATTCATTATTGGTCAAAACGGCTTACATGTCCCTATCTCAACTTTTGATTAACTATCTACTGATATTTAATTGGGACATATACCGGGTGATCAAGAATCTGAATTCTGCACCACCCTGTATTTGTTTCAATTAAATGTCAGTAGATAGTTGATCAAAAGTTGAGATAGGGACATGTGAGCCGTTTTGACCAATAATGAATAGTTTCGACAAAAAAAATTCCTAAAGTTGAAAAATGTCGATTTTTCACACCCTATATCTCTGTAATCATTACCGCTAGACCCCAAGTGTGATACATCGATGAAATAAGCTCTTCAGAGAGAATCTGAAAATGCGATAAAATACAGGGTGTTCATTCAAAATAACAAAGTTGTTGCTACTTTTCGATAGAAGCGGCAACGCCGCAGAGCTGAAAATATTTTAGATCGATAGATCAAGAGCAATTACTTGAGTAACCAAATTTTCAGAATGATCTTATGTCCCGTTCTCCGTAAACGTCTAAGGTGCCATCTACCGTGACCCACCCTGTATTTTTTAAGAATTTTAGAAAAATTAGTTATTCGATAATTCATAAATTATCATTTGAATATTGGTAATATTCCTTATCAGCCGAATCATTCAATTCGAAGCATCATCAAGCTTCTTGATGAGTTTTTGTCCCACTCTTTCTCGTTTACACAAGTTGGTTTTCTGAAGAATCATTATTCTCGTTCTTGATAACGCGGATAGATATTCAAAATTACCCCTTGCGTTTGAACGTGTAAATCTTTATTGGCAAACTCCGCTTGCTCTTCCTCCGAATCACTATCACTCACTTCGTTGACTGCCTCAAAAGGCCTCCAGAACACAAAACCACTATGATTGAAATAATAAATTCTCAGAATTTCGAGTTGAACCAATGAAGACAAACTAGCTCGTACCGCACTGCCTAGCGCAGGCTAGAGGATTCTCATCACACACAAGGCTGCCAATACAACTCTGACCAATCAACATTCAGTATAGTTTGGAGTAACCAATGGGACGTGGTTTCTAGCATGACAACGCTTGTCCAGTCCACGTTGACTGCACAGTCTGCATACCGGGAAAGCTCATTAGAAAATATCTGATTCATTCCTATTACAATGTTGAGCAAATCGACAAATCCTCGTATCGTCCTTAAAAACGAAAGTTTTTCAACTAACTCCGCATAAACTATATAATATTCCTAATAAGCAATAAAAATTCAATTGTCTCGAAATGGTCCCGTATGATTTGTGGTTTATTGCATTAAATAAATTTGTGTAAATGATAATTATATTATTTCACACTAGAAGACATTTGAATCGGTGAACGTGACAACCACGGCCACGACCTGTGGGCGTGACCTTATCACTTCTCAGCATTCAGCACAATGTTGCCAAGTCTCCAAAATTCATATGTTATTTTGTTATGGAGAATAAGAAATATTTGGACAGGCTGGTTGCTCGAAAAACTCAAGAATGAACTAAAACATCATGGGTTCCTCCTATTATGTTTTATTCAACGACAGGACTCTAACATCTTTTCGATATAACTTGATTATATTTGGTGATTTAACAACCTTGCTTCATGAGTGGAAATGGAAGATTATTTGACCAATAACGAAACATCAGTCCACTCGCTCATTGATGGAAAGTCTCAGTTGGATTTGAAACTCTACTGAGTAATTTCGAGAGGTTACCATCATTGAATTGATATAGATTTTAGGGAGAAAAACTGATACTGATTTGGAGTTTCATTCTGAATTGGAAGGTTAATATTATTCTGGGAGTTAGTCAAAGATGATTTCAGTTGTTTGAATTGCTTAGCATTTTGTTTGATTCAATTCAGTAAATCCGTTATTTTAGGTAGACGAAAATTTCTCGAATTGTCAAAAAAGGGACGCAATCAAAACTACCAAATTCTGGTTCAGGCAAAATATCCAGGAAGAAGACGGAATTTCCGACGCAGAAAATAAACCCACTGGGGTGATTGTGCAGATGACCATAAACGAAATCATGAACGGAAAAGTAAAAAAAAAAACTACTCTGTGCTTGATGATATCATTGGAAGTTGACTTTTTAGGGCGAAGAATTTCCGGGGATAATACCTCTGGCGCGGAGATATCTGGAGGATCAGAAGGTCGATTCTGATACCTCCAAGAAGTTGAACGGATATTTCGATTTGTTGGCAGGCAGAGCTTCGGGAAAAATTATGACTGTGGCTACCTGGATGAGAAAATTTGTGAGGGAGCATCCAGAATATAAGTAAGTTTTAGGTACCTCTACACGTTTTTCCACGATTATTTTCCATTTTCACGTCTCGCAAAATGATTCACAACTACTCGGCCCCTGTTACAAGTCACTCGGGTGACGCTCTGGTGAGAAAATGATTCAAAATGGCGCCGCCAAGATGGCGGATGATTTTGTCGTTTATCGTCCGATTGGACTGAGATTTTTTTAAGCAAGGGGTGCCAAGGTCAGGATTTCAAGATGGCGAATGATTTTGTAATTTCTTGATCGATTCGACTAGAAATAATGTACACTTGGGGGTTTCCAGGTCTTGGATAATGGATTTCTAGTAGATAAAACAATTGAAAACATCGAATATAATGACAATAAATTCAAAATTATTCTTAACAGATAGAAATTTCAAAAAATATCGAGTATTTGAGAATATATGATTTTTCAGCAAAAAAATAAACAAAAAATTCACCTCAACCTTAAAATAAAAAATGAACTCTTGAAACAAACTGACCAGATAAAATATCTTGGTATTTGGTTTGATGACAGGTTGAAGTGGGACAAACATATTGATGTTCTGACAAAAAAAATATCTCCAATTATTGGTGCATTGAGAAGATGTCCCAAACTTGATATTAAAATTGCAAACATGATTCTCTACTCTCATATACTGAGTCGTATCAACTATTTAATAAATGTTTGGGGATCTTGTTCAAAAAATAATTTCAATAAAATATCAACATTATATAGAAAATCGTTAAAAGTATTGTATCGTCTCCCATTTGATACACCAACCAATCAATTGTATGAAATAACAAATACGTATTCTTTAGATGAAATATATAGAATTGAAACTCTGAAAATATCATATAATATCATGAATAAAAAATTGAAGTCGAATATTATTTTGATACGGAATTCTGAAATTCATAATCATGAAACTAGACAATATAACTTGTTCCATCTTGACGCCGCTAGCTCCCTAATCGGACAAAAAAGATTCACTCATTCAGCCTTAACTGAATTCAATAAACTACCTGATAATATGAAAAATTGCAGAAATATAGGTATATTCAAAAATGAACTAAAAAAACTGATTATTTCTCAGCGGACTGGATAAAATTAATCATGCCATTTTTTTTTTGTTCATTTACAAATATTATTTCTTTGTTTGCCAATTTACAGTTGTTGATATATTTTGAATGATGCTATGTTTACCTATAGGTATATAATTATGTACTTCCTTATACCAGAGCCTATTCTGTCTGGAAGTTATTTGTTCAATAAATAAATAAATAAATAAAATGATGATGATTTTCATTCCAGGCAAGATTCTGTTGTCACAGAAAGAATATGTTATGATCTTCTGAAGACGGTACAGAGAATTCAGAATGGAGAACCATGTACCGAATTATTAGGCCAAAAGGTAATTTGATGCAATGTCTTTTACCCTCTGTATTTATAAAAATATGCTTGTTAAAATGTAGGCTGTCATATGAAAAACGCCGCAAACTATTTATTCTTTGTCCGATTTCAAAAAATTGAAGAAGGAATGACTGAAAAAATAATACTACTGAGTGATTTCTTTGTTTTTTGGTGGGTTCAGTCAATTTCAATGGCTCTTTATGGAGCATTTTATTCAAAAACTCAAGTATATCCACTCATGACACCGAATTTAGGAAAATGTTGAATATTCAACGGAGCAAGAATGGTTATCAGTAGCAGTTTTCATTGTTTTTCAAATTATTGGCTGTTGTTCTTTAATAATTGAAATCTGATGAAAAATGGACAAACTTACGATGTTTTTCATATGGAGAAGTTGCATTTATTTTGCAATTTGCGATTGATTAAATATAATTTTAATAATAATTGATTATGTTATATCTTACAATATTATTTCGCATAAATATTGAATACAATATTTTTGTTTCCTCAAAATGTAAATAAAGTATTTCTATACAATGAAAATGACTTTATTTATTCAATTCCTCAATCCTTGATTATATGAGTTGAAATTAGGCGAACAAAATACGTCGCCAATATGGGGGTTATCTTTGAAAAGCTTTAATTGTTAGTGAAAAAAATCAAAACCCACTTTAATTTTTCAACACTTGGAAATTAGGGAATCCAAAGAAATTCACCATTCACTTCTCGAAAAATTATCATAAAAAGAGGTAGGAGTAAAATAGGAAAGTTACAGTGTCCCAAAAAAAGATTTCAATCAGTTTCGGAAATTTTAGAGCTAAATCAATAAATAAAAAAAAATGCTCGCAAAAGAAGCCTTTTTTGTATAGGATGTAAGCACTTTGTATACAATTACTCAATTAACACACAGGGTGAGTCAAAAATTAAGAATAAATCATGGTTCGAGTTATTCCACCACCATATCAAGGAGGATTTTGAAAAAATGTTCACCTCTTTATTTTTTTTAAGACAGCAAATAAAAAAATAAAAATCGGCCTACTATTTTTTTTAAGAAGATAGGTCATATATCAAGTGCGTCACTTTTTTTGTAACTGAGTGTATAAGCTTTCATCGTGCCAAAATTCAGTATGGTTAGGTTAAGGTTAGAGGAAGCCCTGAAATTTCAAAATGATTGTAATTGGTGTTATTGAGTATTCTCAATGGAAGTCTCGAAAACACCTACATTAAAATTAGGAGTCAAATCTAATTTTTATTGTATCCTCAAAAACTAAGCTAGATACAAAAATCACACCGGGGATGAAAAAGTTGTTATTCAAATAGTTCAATCTAATGAAAAAATTAAACTCAGAAAAACCCGTGGCGTACAATGACATATTCGCCATAAATATCGATAAATTTACCCACTGTGACGCCACTGGAAATATCATTTCGAATTTAATTGCACCAGAAGAAGCTCCATATTACTATTAACAAAACCACAACGTTTTGTTGAAATTGCTGGAAAGACAATTGAGCAATGAATAAAAAAAACGATTTTTCATGGAAATATTAAATAGGTATATACCCTCGGGTTCGGGTATACCCTATGTCTCAAAAACGAAGCAAGTTAGGACACAAGTTTATATGAACTTTATTATTTCCTAAAATATCACAAGGAATCGCCCCTTGAATTTTCGCGGTGTTATTTAGATACACCCTGTAGAAAAATTCGGTGAATACAAGGTTGCTAGAACCTTGGTCATGGTCATTAATCTCTGATTATTTGTATGCAAAATAATCATCAGTTCTACCAACCTTGGGTGAATAATAGGTGCTAGTCATCTGTCGGGCAATATCTGAAGGAAATTTTGTAGAAAGAAACCTGTACGCGCTTTTTGTTGGTTATGTTTGATTGCCTCCAGCAGATGGCATATCGTGATCGTTCCCGAATAACTGGAAAGAAAATCCAATAATTTTGATAGGTATTATGTCTGAACTGTAACATTTCATTTCAATCGATTTGTAGATATTGCAGTTATGTTATTTTTCGATTTATTTTCCATTTCCTATGGCGAGAAAATTGAAGCTTTTGTTCATTCAGGATTGGATCATGTGAAGTTCAAATAATGAAGGTACTATTTATAAATGTGACTCAATATTATTGTTTTTTGCAAATTTAAGTGTCGCATTCAACAACATGAATGTAAAGGTGTTTCGGTTGGAAGTTTAAAGTGACTAAAAAAAGTAGAAAATTAGTTAGTAATACTTGATAGATAGGTATGTGAGCAGAGGATTCAATATAGATATCTGAACAGTAGGTAAGAATCTTACAGTATCTTTAAAACTCACCGTATCCGATTTCTGACAGCTTTCAAATCACATTTCCCTTGTTATTTTTTATACAGTACTGTATGAAAAATACTTAGGGGTATGACGTCGAGTCCAAAAAATACGAGAACAATTTGTTGCTATATGTTTGAAAAAAATAAAGTAAAACCTACAATTTCCTTAGAATTTCTTCTCGTGTGTGTATATACATACAAGGTGATTTAAAATTATTAATTTATACCTATAAAATATATAGAAACACACATATCAATAATATATGATACAGTCTAACTTGGCATAACGCTAACGAATTATTCCAACATATCAGATTTTGTTGTTGAGTCCTCTAATCAACGGAAAATTTCTTCTTGAAAATTGAAGAAACAAAAAGAGTGCGCCACTTCGAAACTTTTGAAATCCGCGCGTGATCTTTTGATCGCTTCATTTTTTTAATGGTGCTATTTGCTAGTATACCTTGAGCCTATAGGGTTTATATCGGGTGGCTACGGAAGTATATTGCCTACGGAATATCTCAGTTATTGTATGAAGTAGGTTTGTGAAATTTGGAGCGTGGATATAATGACATAAGAGCTAAAATTTGAGCACATTGACATGTCCAAGTTAACTTCCGGTCTGACCGGAAGTAACATCAACTTTCTTATTTTAAATGAGAACCCTATTTTTTTTTTCGCTTTATTCAGCATTCAATTCCCTTTCTAATGACATATCACAAGTTGGTATTTAACCAGGAACTAGATCAGAAAAAAATTATTATTGAAATTCACCGAGTAGGCCGTGGAAGCAAAATGAAAGCCAAAAATTGAAAAGTTGGCTATGGAAACCATACGTGACTTGATAACAGTTGCTACTACTGTGATATTTTATTTTCATTCGTCGGCATTATAAAAAGCCGCCAAAATAAATATTGGAAAAATTGGGAAAAAAACAATACTCTGTAGGTCCATAACTTAAATAGGAACATACAACTTTTTCTTGCCTGTACTATTCAGCATAACCATTCCTTTCTAATGATATAATAGAAAGTCATTTTTTGAAATGAAATACCAAAAAATCCAATTATTATTCTTCAAATAACAAAAAAAAACAGATTTATCGAAAAAAAATTCAAGTTGATAGGATTATAAAGATGAAATAAATTGTGATATGTCATTAGAAAGTGAATTGAAAAATAGGGTTTCCATTTAAAATAAGAAAGTTGATGTTACTTCCGGTCAGACCTGAAGTTAACTTCGAAATGTCAATATGCTCAAATTCTAGCTCTTATGTCATTATATCGAAGCTCCTAATTTCACAAACCTACTTCATACAATAACTGAGATATTCCGTAGGCAATACTTCCGTAGCCACCCGGTATATTCATTGCAATACCACACTGTACAATAATTTTGATTTTATTCACTTTTTTCTGGTGTCCAAATATAGGTACCTTCTGTACAATAACAAGTATAGGTACCTGTTCAAGTACTTACTCAAAGAGGAACATTACGATTGGTGATTGTCAAATAAATATTGTTTTCACTCTGTAGAAACCTTCATTTATCCTCAATTTTTGTGCTCATCTCATGGCTCATCTTGATAAAAAATAATCTCCATTTTTTTATTCATAAGTTAAGTTTTCCCTGGTTTTGTATCAGACTAACTTATTCACAGCAAGGTTGGAAAAAATATTAAAAGAACTGATGGGTTGTATTGAAAATTATATTCAAATATTTTTCATGGTTTTAAAGTTATATGATGAAATATTCTTGTTTTGTGTGCAGTTATACCGAGTGATTTTGCCAAATAAAAACAGCCCTCAGTATTTAGTTTGGTATATAAACCAGATGACAGACTCATATATGATATACCCTCCATTTCTCCTTTGTTTTTCTAACTATATTTATGAAATTGGAACATCGAATATGCTCACTAGAGGGCACTTTCTCTGTATCGAAAGATGATGTCATTTCCAGGAAAACCGAAAGACGAGAAAGAATTCCAAAAATGTCAGGAAGTTCCATCTAGTATGAGCAAATTTGATGTTCCATATTCCAGAAATATAGCTAGAAAAAGGGGTATACCCATGATTATGTGTCACCTGATGGTATAATATGTTGAGTTATCTCTGGTAGGTACCTTCATATTGAAAGTTTCCATATCAAATCATGAAATATTGTTATATGTATACATGCCTGTCGAGATGCCTGTATATGGTTCCATTTGATCACAAAATTGAAACTTTGGAAGAATATTCCGATATGGTCATCAATGTATATTACATGAACTACACCGACAAATGACATGAGATATTATACGGAGATAGACAAACGCAATTAAAGATCCTTTCCGTTTTTTGTGTGCAACACTGTACACAGAAATGAAATACGAGCATTAGAAAATATGCAAATAACGTTTGTAAACTATAACGATATTACGTAGTCGTGTAGGTTGATTATTAAAATTCGCAGGCCCTTATAAAGTTCATCATTTATCGGGCACACTTTCTATGGCAAAATTTAGCGGAGGCGAATATTGGCATTTGTTGATCAAAATCGAACGCGTATTGCAATCGTCAGATTGCCAATAACCGATGTGTGGGATGTCTGATTTTGATTTCCAGCCAGATCTGGACAAATACTCTGAATAAAGTGTTTATCCATTGCTAGCTACCCAGCGAGCACAAACATCCCTGGGATGTTTTGAGATGTTTTGAAAATGTTGGCATGAAGATGTTATTTTGAGACGTAATATGCACTGACCAAAGAGGTCTTTGAAGGATATTGAAGTATTGTTTTTGTTCTTCTGTGGCATTTCTTTGTTTGCCCCACCACAACGTCTCATGCTTACGCCACAATACGATGAATTCTGATTTGTTTTCGATTTTGTTCTTCTTGTTCGCAATTGGCATTCGCGTTGCAGCGTGTCACGCTTACATCACGCTGCTAACGAACAGAAAGGAATTTGGTGAAGTTTATTGTGTTAGAAGACTTATTTAGTTTGTAATAATGACCACGGATTATGTCCAAAAAAGGGCAGTTCGTCTCGTGGGCGATGCCTCGCTCACAAACTCACTCACTTCTCTGGAACACCGTATAAAAGTTGGCCATCTGGCTCTATTTTATAGATATTTCCATGGACGGTGCTCTTCTGAAATATCAACAATTGTTTCTCCCTTGGCAGTCCCTGCGAGATTAACCCGTCGAATTGAGGCTTCGCACTCCTTCGTGGTCACTTTGGAGACCTGCAGAACTTCTCTTTTCAAAGACTCGTTCATCCAACGAACAGCGAGGCTCTGGAACACATTGCCAAGGGGGGTGTTCCCCGAGGCATATAACCTCCAGACATTTATGAAGAACACCAATTCCTTTGTTTCCCTTGGTTCTCACGATGTTCTCTGAACATTACTGGATATCCCTTTTCGTTGAAACCAGAACATAAAAAAAATACCATAATAGGTCATCATTTTTTGATGAGTATATTTTCAGAAAAATGCCGAGCCAAACTTCGCTAATGGAGCATTATCCTCTTTTATAAGCTTTTTGTTTCAACTCGTTATCACATGACGGAAGTGCACAAGTAGGTTTTTGAGATCTACCATTCAAATGGTACCGGATGGCATAATTCTCAACTCGTTATCAAATCACGAAATTACCACTCAGGAAAGTGGCAATTTTTTTGCTCAGGATAGTGATTGGCACTGGTGCCGTTCGATATACAATGTTTTTACATGCCTTTGGGTTTGAAATATATATCAATATATCTCAGAAAAGTGCCAGGTATTCTCTAACTTCCGTCTAATATCTCACCTCATTTTGAATGTTAAGAAAGAATTTGATGGAGGTCGTAGCAACGTTTCAGTATTTTGAAATTTTCATGAATGGTTGAGAGTGTCAGCTATTCTGATTTTTTCATATTATTTCCTCAGGTATTCTCTCCTTTCCCTCTCAATATCTGACATCATATCAAATGTTTAAACCGAGTTTGATGAAGATTGTAATATTGTGTACAACGTTTTTGTTTTTTTTATATATTCAGGTTGAAGTCAGCTATTCTGATTTTCTCATAGCATTTCATCTCTCATTTTGTATACACCGTGTCCCAGCTTAAATGTCCCCCCTTGTAAAAAATCAACCGCGTGGACGAATGACTTGAAATTTGGTCACCCAGTATATTTGATGATGCTCACTCGAAATATGCTATTGAATAAATCGTAGGTATACAGGGTCACACCAAAGTGCACCTCGCACCTTTCTTATTTGAATAGGAACACCCAGTATATTATTCCATATTCTAGTAGAGTTCATTATTACAAATTCAACAATGTCAAGTTTGATGTTTCTTTTCAAACGACCACGAAGATATGGCAAGAAATAAAACGATTCAATAAAAAAATTATATGATTAGATTTTATTAATATAACACGATTGAAATTGAATAAAAAAAAAATCAAAACCATAACTGCTAAATATGTCGTCCATTCTGCTGTAAAAATTTCATAGCTCTTTTGATAACGTTCATTGTGACCCTATGTATCACGTTCCGATCAATTTGTGCGCATAAATTGATGATTTTCTCTTTCATTTCTTCCATATTCACAATTGACGACTCATAAACCTGTTGTTTCAAGTAGCCCCACAAATAAAAATCAAGTGGGGTGAGGTCTGGCAACCAAGCTGGCCAGTTGCTATCAGCATCGAGACAATTGGTGGTTATTAGATTTTCTCCAAACCGATGGCGAAGATAATCCTTCACGGGTCTGTTGTGATGTGCAGGACACCCATCATTCGATTTTAATCGTGTTATATTAATGAAATCTAATCATATAATTTTTTTGTTGAATCGTTTTATTTTTTGGCATATCTTCGTAGTCGTTTGAAACAATTTGATCAAACCCGGCATTGTCGAATTTGTAATAATGAACTCTACTTGAATATGGAATAATATACTGGGTGTCCCTATACAGATAAGAAAGTTGAATTGCACTTCGGTGTGACCCTGTATACCTACGATTTATTCAATAGCATATTTCGAGTGAGCATCATCAAATATACTGGGTGACCAAAATTCAAGTCATTCAATCGCGCGGTTGGTTTTTAACAGGGGGTACATTTTAGCTGGGACACGGTGTATACAGGGTGGGCCACCAGTAACGCCTCGGTCTCTAGAAGGCTAACCACCACTTATCTTCTTGGAATTCTTCCTCTCTAGGAAGTTGCATGTCAACATAGGCTACCATTTGAAATTATTTTGAAACATACAGGGTGTCCCCGAATACCATAAAACACTGAAGTTAAACTTTTTTCTATCGAACACCCTATATATTATTTCGACCCATCATACTTGGGGTCTAGCAGTTATAATTACTGAAATATAGGGTGTGAAAAATCGAGATTTTCCAAGTTCAAGAATTTTTTGTGTCGAAACTATTCATAATTGGTCAAAACGGCTTACATGTCCCTATCTCAACTTTTGATTAACTATCTACTGATTTTTAATTGGGACATATACCGGGTGATCAAGATTCTGAATTCTGCACCACCCTGTATTTGTTTCAATTAAATGTCAGTAAATAGGTGATCAAAAGTTGAGATAGGGACATGTGAGCCGTTTTGACCAATTATGAAAGGTTTAGACACAAAAAATTCTTGAACTTGGAAAATCTCGATTTCTCACACCCTATATCTCAGTAATTATAACTGCTAGACCCCAAGTATGATGGATTGTTGAAATCAGCTCACCAGGGAGAATCTCAAAATGAAATAATATATAGGGTGTTCGATTGAGAAAAGTTCAACTTCAGTGTTTTGTGATTTTTGGGGACATCCTGTATGTTTCAAAATAATTTTAAATGGTAGCCTTTGTTGACATGCAACTTCCTAGAGAGGAAGAATTCCAAGAAGATAAGTGGTTAGCCTTCTAGAGACCGAGGCGTTACTGGTGGCCCACCCTGTATATCATAATTTTTCAGAAAACTGTCTGGTATTCTCTCATTTCCGTCTAATTATTTCTGCAGATTTATAATGCATGACCATGACCAAAAGGGCGCTGTGGGCTATCTGGTTCAGGAACCATTCCTAGGACATCTGATGAACATCTATGTCGAATTTTCCTGTTGGGGTTAGTGGCCCACATACAAGGTAAGTTATTTTGATGAGTCTACATCATTTTTTTCCTATACTGAAGGCCTCGAACACACCATTTAGAATCAAGTTGGCAATGAGTAAACGTTTTTTGGGGATTCAGAGAAGTTCTTGATGCATCGTCTCAGGAATTTCTGCGATAATAAAAATTGAACGGAAGGCCTGCTGCACACGTACGAATGAATCTGCACACATAAAACACATTTTTGATCGGGCCACGCCACTCTGTAATTGTTGCACTCTTCTTTACAGTTGAATATCGCAGCAAGTGATGTTCATTGATAGTTTTTCGTGTAGAAAAATATTCAAAAATAAAAAAATTTCATTCATTCATATTCAAATGAGTATCTTGAAGATAAGGTATCAATTTTCAAGGCAGATTTCGTACAAATTTAGTTTTACGTCACGTTTCCTCAGTACATTTCGTGAACGTTTTATCAAACTGGTGAATAACAAGACCAATCTCGAAAATATATTTGCCCACTTCTAAAAATAGAGGCCAGCTCATGAAGGATGTTACAAGAATATATCTTTGATAACAGCTCGGGGTTATCTGGCACAACGACCTTCAACCCTGCAATACACCGCGTCAAAAAAGAATCTTCATTAGTAGACCTATCGCAGTGCCCTTAGAATATGTACAAATTAGCAGTTTTTTGTTTGCTGATCGCCAAAAGTTTGGCCCAAAATTGTTCGCTTCCAAACGTATCGGCGCTGGTTCAAAGAAGAATTGACAGCGAAGGTGAGATAGTTAGTTTCGATGATAAAATACAGCTAGCAGAAGATGCTTTCTACCTACTGGTCAACCAAAGTCTGTTGCCTAGTTTGTGTCAAGGCTCGGTCAAAATTTTGGACGAACTTTCCATCATCCAGATTAGGAACTGCAGCCTGATGGAAATAGAACCTGACGCTTTTGATATTACCCCCACCCTGAGTCTATTGAAGATTAGCTACAACCCTTTGGCCATGCTGAAAAAAGGGATTTTCCGGAAAGTTCGAAGTAAAGAAATCGACCTTTCCCACAACGCTATAACCTCCATAGAAGAAGGAACCTTCAGCAACAGCACTTGGTTGGAAATAGTGAGGTTGAGCTATAACGCCATAAAAAAGTTAGATCCAGATTGGTTTTTGGACACTCCGAATTTGTACAAGCTCAGTGTGATTTACAACGAACTGACTGTGGTTCCCAGCGCAGCTTTCCAGAACTTAGCGAAAAATAGAAGCTTGAAGCTTAGGCTTTCTGCCAACATGATTTCTAGAGTGGAAGAAGACGCTTTCGCTGGAGTAGGAAATATCAGGAATCTCTGGATGAACGGAAACAAACTGAGAACTTTGCCAGAATCTTTGTTTCAGAACAGAACTATCGACCTGTTGGAAGTCAATAGCAATAAGCTACTTTGTTTTCCTGATAGCATCTATCTAAGTGACTTGAAGAGGCTGGAGTTTTTCGATAATCGACATTTTAGTTGCGAGTGTTTACAGGAAGTGAGGAATTTTGTAGAGGAAAGGCTGGTTGAAGTTTGGTATCCTGCTATAATCTGCGAAAATGCTACCAGAGGAGTTAATATAGTGTACAATTTGAATAGGACCTATGAGATCCCACTTCTGACACCATCTAACTAAATTTGAATAAATGTGACGGTATCATAAGTTATTATATATATAGATGAATAAATATGCTAGAAGAGTCTGAGTGTTTTTTTTACTACTTTGAAATGAAATTTGTTTCGATGAAAACATGCAGCCAGCAGAAGATGCCTTCTGGTCGCTGGTCAACCAAAGCTTCTTGCCTAATTTGTCTCAGTAAACATTCTGCGAAAATGCTACCAGAGGAGTTAATATAGTGTACAATTTGAATAGGACCTATGAGATCCCACTTCTGACACCATTCAACTAAATTTGAATAACTGTGACGGTATGATAGGTCATAATATATGGTTGAATAAAGATGCTAGTAAAGTCTCAGTGTTTTTTTTTGATACTTTGAAATGAAATTCGTTTCGATAAAAAAATTCAGCCAGCAGAAGATGCTTTCTAGTCGCTGGTCGACCAAAGCTCATTCTTCCAGATCAGGAACTGCTTGTTGGGGATGGAATCTGGCTGATGCTTTCGACATAGCTCCCACTTTGAACCCTATTGAAAATAAGCCACAACAAGTTGGCCATGCCCAGAAAAGAGTTGAAATGCTATTAAAAAGTTGGATCCTGATTGATTTTTGGACACCTCAAAACTTAACAGCTCAGTCTTGATCTACAATGAGCTGACTGCCATTTCTTGTACAGCTTTCCAGAACTTGGCGAAGAATAGGGGCTTGAAGCTCAGGCTTTCAGCCAAGATGATTTCTATAGAGTCAAAAAGGAAGCTTTTGCGGGAGTGGGAAACAACAGGAATCTCTGGATGAACAGAAATAAACTGAATACTTTGCCGGAATCATTGTTCCAGAACATAACAGAATTTAAAAAAGCCATGGAGATTTTCGAACATCGACATTTCAGTTGCTTGTATTCACAAGAAGTGAGGAGTTTTGTGGAGGAAAGGCTAGTTGAAATCCTGCTATAATCTGCGAAAATGCTACCAGGGGAGTTAATATAGTGTACAATTTGAATAGGACCTATGAGATCCCACTTCTGACACCATCCAACTGAATTTGAAAAATTGTGACGGTATGATAGGTCATAATATATGGTTGAATAAAGATGCTAGTAGAGTCTATGTGTTTTTCTATCACTTTGAGATGAAATTCGTTTCGATGAAAAATTTCAGCTAACAGAAAATACTTTCTACTCGCTGGTCACCCAACGATTCTTGCCTAGTTTGTGCCAAGGCTCTGTCGAAATATCGGATGAACTTTTCATAACCCAGATCAGCAACTGTAGTTTATTGAAGATGTAACTGGACGTTTTCGATATACTATGACTCTATTGAATATAAGCTACAACCATTTGGCCACGCTCAGAAAAAGGATTTTCCGGAAATTTCGGAGCAAATAAATAGAACCTTCAGCAACAGCAGTCGGTTGGAAATAGTGCAAAATCCAATCAAAATGTTGGATCCCGTTTGGTTCTTGAATACCCCAAATCTTTACAAGCTCAGTTTGATTTACAACGAACTGACTGTGGTTGCTAGGAGTTAATATAGTGCAGAATTTTGATAAGACCTTTGCGATTCCACTTCTGACACCATTCAACTAAATAGTTGTTGTACCTATGTGGACTTATACATGTAGTCTACAGTTTTAATGTTTTTCTCGTTTGGTTTTTGAATACCCCAAATTTGTACAAACTCAGTTTGATTTACAACGAACTGACTGTGGTTGCTAGGAGTTAATATAGTGTACAATTTTGATAAGACCTTTGCGATCCCACTTCTGACACCATTCAACTAAATAGTTGTTGTACCGATGTGGACTCATACATGTAGTTTACAATTTTAATGTTTTTCTTCTCATGACATTTTGTACAAACCAATGAATTCCGCCCAATGAAACTTTTCACAATGAGAGAAGTTTTGCAAACGTTTTTGGTTTCATAAATGACAGTTACTGAGTGTCTGCAGTGGCGCCACTGTACATATAACCATGTATAAAAGAGTAGGCTGAATTGTAGTTATTTTTTTATATTCACCATTACATGACAGAAAATGTTCAGTGCGGTTCATTTCTATATTTACCAGAATGATATCAGCCCGCTTTCAATAAAACCCTTATTCGTCACACCACCTGCCGGGCATGTTTTTTTTTCGGTCTCTTGTGGTTTTTCAGTCAATAATGGATAACTCTGAACCGAAGGTTGATGATTAATAGGAATTGTTGAAGATAACGCGATCTACTATACTTTCCTATTTCATTGTGCAATAATTGGATATCACAAATGAGTCAGAGTCAGACTGTTATGAAAAAATAATTGAGTTTTATTTCTACTACTACTACTATTATTTTCTACGTGTAGAATTTTGAAATTATCATCAAAACTATAGTTTTATTCTAATATATGGTTGGCGTATGTTGAATTTGTTTTCTTTTTCAAAAAATTCATCTCATGTTCATGAATGCGCTGATTGAACGTACGACCTGTCTGACCGATATACATATACCTTAGGACAAGATCCACAGTTGGGTTTGTATACCCCAGATTTTTCGAATCCAGAAGTTTTGTCTTTATCATTTTTGATGAACCTTCCCAACGTTTTATTTGTTCCATTTATGCTACTTTTAAGTCCTGTTTATGTAGAAATTAAGGCAATTTTTCAGTTAATGATCCGAACTTTCACCTATTTTCTAGAATCTATGGTTAGATTGTAGATTGTAGATTGTAGATGGGTCGTATAGGCTGGGAGACCTCTCGATCACTGCGACCTAGAAGATCTATTGTGATTACCCCTATCTAGTTTTGGTCCTCTAACCCTAGACTTCTGATGAAGCCTACGATTTTCCTGACGGTTGACTTTTCCACTTCAGCAGGAGTGAGATAGACCTGTTCTAGGTGGCTCAGCCTTTGGCGGACTAATACTTCACATGAGCAAAGTATGTGTTCCGCGGTTTCGGTCGCATTGTTACAAAAGCGGCAAGTGTCAGTCTCCGACAGGCACATCTTTTTGAGGTGGTAACTCCTGTGAGAAAGCCTGTGTTAAGCTTTAGCTCTGGTTTGCTGAGGCTGAGTAGCTCTTTGGCTCGGTTCTGCGAATGGTTGATGAACCTTTTCGCTTGTCGTTGACCTGGAGTTGCTCTCCAGTAGGAGGACTTTTCAATTTCTTCCCATTTCCTAGTTCTCCCTTTAGGTGACATTTGCTTATCCCATTAAAAGGCTCAGGACCAAAAAGTGCAGATGCTGCACCTTTTTTGCAAGGCGATCAGCTGCCTCATTTCCTTTGATTCCTTCATGCCCTGGAACCCACATAAGTGTGACTTTGTTGTCCTTTCCCAGTTGCATGAGTGTTTCAAAGCAGTCCCATGTAATCTTCGATGTGAAAACGAATGATTTTAGGGCTTTTAGTGCGGCTTGGCTGTCTGAGCAGATATACAGGGTGTCAATTTGAAAACTTCCCACCCTCAATATCCCCCTCCAAGTCGATAATATGGAAAAACGAAAAGACAGGTCGATTTTATTTTCGAGGGGGACATGGTTCTAAAATATTTTCAGCCCCGCGGCGTTGCCGCTTCTAACGAAAAGAAGCAACAACTTTGTTATTTCAAATGGAACACCCTGTATTTTATTGCATTTTTAGATTCTCACTGAAAAGCTGATTTCATCAATGGATCACACTTGGGGTCTAGCAGGAATGATTACAGAGATATAGGGTGTTCAAAATCGAGATTTTTCAATTTCAGGATTTTTTTGAGTCGAAACTATTCATTATTGGTCAAAACGGCTTTTATGTCCCTATCTCAACTTTTGATTCACTATCTACTGACATTTATTTGAAACAAATACAGGGTGGTTCAAGATTCAGACTTTTGATCACCCTGTATTTGTTTCAAATAAATGTCAGTAGATAGTAAATCAAAAGTTGAGAAGGGGACATGAAAGCCGTTTTGACCAATAATGAATAGTTTCGACTCAAAAAAATCCTAAAGTTGTAAAATCTCGATTTTGAACACCCTATATCTCTGTAATCATTCCTGCTAGACCCCAAGTGAGATATATTGATGAAATCAGCTTTTCAGGGAGAATCTAAAAATGCAATGAAATACAGGTTGTTCCATTTGAAATAACAAAGTTGTTGCTTCTTTTCGTTAGAAACGGCAACGCCGCGGGGCTGAAAATATTTTAGAACCATGTCCCCCTCGAAAATAAAATCGACCTGTCTTCTCGTTTTTCCATATTATCGACTTGGAGGGAGATATTAAGGGTGGGAAGTTTTCAAATTGACACCCTGTATATGTTGGCACCCCTCAGACCTTTGCTCAGGCACCTTTGGGCGCAAAGGTTGATGGCATGTATTTCAGCTTGAAAGATAGTGGGGGAATGACCTAAGGCTTCAAATAGCCTACATCCGGGTCCATATACACCCGCGCCTACCCCTTCTTCCATTTTCGAACCATCGGTGTACCAAACAAGGGACCCTCTGTCCAGCTGAGGCTCAGCGGAACCGTACCTAGGGCGGCTTTTTATAACCAATTCAAAGGTATGATCGAAACTGAGCCTGGCTGATGGCATTATGTCCGATGATTCGGATGCAGATTCCATTTGTACTTGTAGAATGACCATGTGACCAGTGACAGAATCTATGGTTGAAATCTTCCTATGTACTTTCGGGACATCCTGTATAGGCATAAATAATGGACAATTAGTGGGTCGATACACTCCTAGGATAGGAGGCCATACAAAAATAATACGTTTCGCCAATTTTGTCTGACTCTCTTTTCGAGTACCCTTGACTTAGTTGCTATTAAAATATCACACATCTTAAACCCACTGGCAGAAAAAAAAACACCCAGTCACTTTTTGCACTCACGATTTCGGTCGTGTCTCGTATAGTCACTGATATATTTAGAAATAAATGGAAAAGTAGTGGTCATCGCTCATTAATGTAAATTAATTGTGTAAACTTCGATCGAGTATTCTTGGAATTCGATTCTTTATTGATGTATCACCTATTATATTTATAATCAATCCAATGATAAGTATGAAAATCGCAACTCTACA